GCACCCCTCTGGAGCGGGAACCCCTCTGGAGCGGGAACCCCTCTGGAGCGGGAACCCTCTGGGGCGGGAACTCCTCTGGAGTGAGCACCCCACTGGAGCGGGCACCCTCTGGGATGGGCCCTATAAGATGGGCACCCCTCTGGAGCGGGCACCCTCTGGGGCAGGCACCCCCCTAGAGTGGGCACTCCTGTCGGGACAAGTCTGCTATGGGGGACTCGCCTGGGAATACACCCATCCCCATGTCTGCTCCCGGCTGCAGCGGCCGGGGAGACCAGGCTGGAGCGGCCCCTGGTTAGTGTGGGAGCAGGGATGCTGCTGGGGAGCCCCAGGGAGCCTGCAGCTTCCTGCCGTGCCTCACCCAGGGCTGTGAGCCCGGGGCGGGTGCCGGTTTCCTCGAGCCTCTCACCCCATCCGGTGATTTTGGCATCACGGCAGTGCGTGTGCATCAGGGATTGCGGGATCGAGCCTCTCTTAGTGCCTCTGGAATAATGCACAGTCTGAAACCCATCCTGGCATTGCCAGGGGACCAGTGGAGAAAGGGCGTGGGGCTTTGGAAAAGGGGAGGAAGGGGACGGTGTGAGTGAGACACCAACACCAAGTGGCATGGTTGTTCAGCAAATTGTGTGCCCAGCTGGGGCTATGGGAAGGGGCAGGAGGTGAGCGTCTGCTGTGCCTCCATGGTCACACAAGCATCTTGCCCAGCAGTCCTGAATGCGCTGCCCAGGAAGAAGCCAAGCAGAGGGTGAGGGCCAGGTGGAGGTTTTGAATTAACACCCCAACCCTCTTCAGTTTCCCTATGTGGAAATTGAAGCCTCATCCCCAGCCATGGTTGAGGAAAAGAAGCCCCAAACCCCCAAATCCTTTGACCTCTGCTGTCACATTTCATCATTGGATTGCATGCAGATYGAGGGGATCAGAAAGTCCCTAATATTCCCCCACAGTGCACAGTTCCCATTTCAGCTCTACCCAAGATGGCAAAACTGTGGGTTGCCTCATGTATTGTTGATTGTCAGGGGCAGGAAATATCCTTCCACCAAAACTTTCCCTTCTTTGCATCATTTTCCTCTTTTCCTTCCTCAGTTTTGGGCAGGGTGAGTGGGCGCACGCCTTGTGGGGTGGCAGTGAAGAGGTTGGGTGCRAAGCACCACGTCACCTTCCTATGGGCCCATTTTGCCCTAGCCCAAGCCACAAAAGGAAGCAGTTAGAGCTGTGGGCTACAGGTGGTCATGTTTGTTTTGGGCAGAGGATGGTATTTCCTCKGTGGATGGCTCAGATCTCTTTCTCCCATGCAGTGTGAAATATCAGCTATGGTTAGCGCTGGGGAAGATGGAAGTGTCTGATCCCAAGGAGCTGTTACTCAGTTGCTGTAATCAGATTGATATACTGAACAAGTCTGTGACAGCCTTGTAGAGTTTGATAATTCTGGCCTGAGGTTTCGTGGGAGGAATTGTGATATTTGTCATTGTATGACCAGAGAACCAAGAATGTTTCTGCTTGGGCTGGTGCTTCTGCCTGCGGCCAGTCCCCACAGTTACTTTGAGGGCAGCGTGCTGCACCCTCTGCACCAGGCACATACTACTCCCACCASGCTGCTGAACCAGAGTCTACCTCTGAATGGGGCATGCAGCTCCTTCCCAGCCCTGACAGCGAAAGTGCATGAGGAGCGGCAGCTCCCCAGATCAACAGAGGCCCTAAGCAAGGAGATGGAGCCTCCTGAGTCCCTCTCCCGCTTTGATCACACCCWTCTGGAGCTGGAGGGCCCTGGAGCTCTTCCAGCCAGAGGGAGTACAAGCCTCAGCGGGAAGGTATTTGCCAGTTGGGAAGCGAGGATGCTAAACCCATTTGCATTTGCCCCACGGGCTGTAATAGTTGCCTTGCAACATTTACGGAGATGGGCTGAGCCAGTCCTGGTTGTGCTGGGGTGAAGCCCCACTGGCAGTGCTTTCTGGAATTCCCAAGGAATGGGGTGCGGCTGGGTGCTTGCTTATAACCTCGGCCCAGCTCCCCATTGCATCTTCCTGCTGCAAGGCGCTGGCGTTCTTCCCTAGTCTTCCTAACACGAGGCAATGACAAGGACAAAGCAGTGGAAGCCGGGATGGATGACATGTCTGGGGTGAGCTTGTGGAAGGAGCCAGGCGAGTCGTCCCTGCCTCCCTCTCACTGTCAGCTGATGTGCAGCAGCAGGAGGGAATGACAGGGCTCCTGCGCTGTTTTCAGTGCTGCTGGTACACAATCAGCCCCGGGGGTGGAAATGCCTCCAGCCCTCGAAGGGGAGGGGTGGGGGGAGTGCGGAGGAGCAGTGGAGTCCCCCTTGAAATGGAAAAAAGGGTGGGTGGGTCTGGCTGTATTTTAGGTACACAGACCAGATCAAACGTTTTTTGATTATTTTAAGGGGGGGAAACATAAGCTGCGACTCCAAGTGGAAGGGGCTCATGTGAAGAGGGTTGTGCCTGCTGCAGGATGCTCTGGCAGGCATTTGTCAGGGTCCCCCTTGCAGCCAAGAGTGGTGCCAGAAGGGTGGAAGCCCTGTGCCAGGGGAGGGCTGGTGGCAGGTGCTGCTGCTCTTACCCTCTGCCAGGGAATGCAGTGGAGTCTCCCCTCCGGGTCCRCACATCAGCTTCAGAGGGAATTAAAAAATGCTGTTTGTTTGGGCTTTTTTGCCTGGCTGATCACTCGAGATCCTGCTGCCAAGATCCCTTGCCATAGTCGGTGTGGAGGTGCTCAGAAAGTCTTCCACTCCTGGGCAGAGGAGCGGGTAGCTGGGTGCTTCCCTGCCCTTCACAAACTGGTGCTGCTGCTACCCTTCTGTCCTTCTGTGTRCAGTCACACCAGCTCAGACAAAGCAGCTGGAGGAGTCCACACCTTGGGAGTGTCCTTGTCTGATTTCTTTGAGCCCTGAGGGTCTGCCTTCCCTGCTGGTTGCACAATCTTTGCTGCTCCTCCTCTGTACCTAACAAGAGACATATCTTCAGGCAAGACTGAAACCCTAGCCAGAGGCTGCACTCCACAACACTGCATATTCACTTGCACCAGCTTGGCAGCAGCTGATGGCAAGGGGACCTTTCAGCATCCCTGGTGCTCAAAAGCGTAAGTCAGGAGAAAACTCCCGAGCACGAGGTGGTGGGGCTAGGGAGGAGGCAGATTTTGGGAGAGTGCATGTTTGGGAAGCAGGAATAGGGGAATCGCTGCACCTGTGTTGATTTGGCAAACAACGTTGCTGGACATCTGGGAGAAGGGAAGCAAAACTGATGTGCCAAGAGGCCACAATGTCACAGCCACAGTGCAAGGAGGCTGTCAGGCAGGCAGGGCCCCTGCCCAGCTGCTCTGCTGCCTTCCATCAGATGTGTCATGGCCCTCAAGCACCAGCAGCCAGCTCAAGGAAGGGAAGTGAACCTCCCTGCCAAGGGGTTGACAGGTTGGGGGGTGCTCTTGTGACTCAGGGGAGAGTCAAGTTGAGCTGGGGAGCAGAGGGAGGGAGGGAAGAGCAAACTTTCTTCTAAGAATTCAGGGCCTCGCAGGAATACAAGGCCATGCCTTGGGGCACTTGACAGCCAGCCAAGAGTCCATTGAGACAAAAGTCTTCTTTGATCTGCCGCACAGTTAAAAAAGGAGATTGTTAACCTGTGTTAGACAAATAACTCCAGAGGAGCTGCTAAACAGGAAAAGCACCAGCTRCTTGGGCTGCTCTGTTGGGGATCCCACCTCTCTTGCAATGCCCCTCTGCCTTCTGACCCCGTGGGATCAGGTGGAGGTGATTGATGGACCTCTGCTTCCCTGTGTCCCATTCCACAAGCGTCTCCAGCCTGTGTGTGTGGTGCCCGGACCTCAGAGCCTCCCAGACATAGGGCTGGGGTGGGGACCAGAGGCATGGCTGCTCCCAGTGGCAGACCCCAGAGGGAGCAAGGACAAAGCATGCAGCTCAGTTTTGTAGCTGCTCTTAGGCCAGCCTTGGGCTTGTTTCACACGGATAAAGTAAGGAGTTTCACAGGCTTGCMGTTGTCGCTGGCAGAGTTGCCTTGCAAAAATGGGGGAGGAGGACAGTATTATGAGCCATGTGGGCTGGTCTTACACCATAGCCATGCTGGTAGTATCTGCATCAAGAGAAAACTGGCATCTAAAACTGCTGCTGTGAGCAGGGAGTGGAGCTTATTCCTACAGGCAGTAACCAGAAATACGGCTCCTGAGGGCCTGCATTTTCAATCCCTGAYTCATATCTACTCCCCCTGCTCAGTTAGCAAGGTGACACCTCCCAGCTCGCTTCCAAAGTCACCGAGTCTCGTAACACCTGCCCACGCTCTCCCCAGGCAAGTGCCGGAGTTTAAAATAAAGTTCCATTTCCTACACRTATTAAGTGTCAGGAAGGTTCAGGGGCATCCGTGCCGAGCAGCATTCATACACAAATGCATTTGGCTGACAGGTGCAAACATTGAAAGCCTGCAATTTCACCACCCAGCACTGAGCTCTGACTGCAAGTGCTGGGAATTGCAAATGATCCCTTTTCAAGTAAACGTGTGTGGCACAAGGCGGGGAAGTGCTGCAGAGCCTCTCCGGCACTGGGCTGTTGGTCCCCTTCTTCCTCATGCAGCAGGAGATGTCAGAAGGCATCTTCATTTCGCATCTATTCAGTGATCCCTGAATTATACAAGTCTCTCTCTCGCTGTGCATTCAACACTGTTGCTGCTTCCCTCTCCCTCAGAGACTGAGGAAGTAGTGCCTAGGGATGTAAAATCTGCTTTTTGCTGCAGGCAGGCAGCCAGATCTGTGGTGAGATGTGACAGTGACAGGGACAGAGTGGGGCAGGAAGGCTTGGCCTGACTGAAGCTCTCTAGTGTATCTGCTRTGGAGGTTTAGGACACTAGGCACTGTCTGCTCTGGAGGTCTCTCAGGAGGTTTCTGCCCCATGACTTGGGCTGCAGCAACCTTCACATCACTGCATCCTAGTTTAAGTTACAGTATTGGAGGGTGGTCTGGCAGCGCTGAGGAGAGAGCGCTCCTCTTGTCCTGCTGTGGGAGCAAACGGTGGGTGGCCAAGGACAGGCTCAAGCAGCCATCCAAAAGTGGCTGCAGGTTTGGGCTAAAGCCCTCAAGGTTTAAAACCAGCGTTTAGCAACCTGCCTGGTGGCTTTTCTCGACTGCAAGAGGAAGGGAAATGTTCTGCGCTGAACKCAGGCAGGGAGGGAATAGCTGTACAGTAGGAGGACCACACACATGCCACCAATTGTCCATAAAAACCCACACGAAAATCCCTGCATTTCACAGGCACGCAAGCCAASTTCTCCTCTCAGTTACAGGGACATGTGTAGGGCTGTGCCTCAGACGCCATCCAGCACCCGGCTGAAAGAGAAGCTTTTCCGCTTGAGTAGCCCTGAATGAAGAGAGCTGGGAGCTAAGCAAACACTCTGGCCAGTGCTTTCCTCTGTCTCTTTTTCTAGTCTTTCGGAAGTATGTTTTAATCAGCACTTGCTTTCCCACACCGCTCCTTTGTACTCTTATTAAGTGCTGTCACTGGAGACTGCTCTAGCCTAGTGCCAGAGTGAAATTCCCAAGAGATGGATGGCACTGCACCTGCCTGCACAAACTCTGAATTTGGCCCATCATCTGATCTTGCTAAACCTGCTTACTTAAGGATTTTTGGTCCTGGTGTGCAATGACATCCAAACTCCCATACGTTTCTTCCTTCAAACAAACTCCTCAGCCCCTCAAATCCCTTCAGCTCTTGGGGATTCACCGCAGGCTCACGCTGGAGCAGCCTCAGCTGTGAAGGTCAGTCTTCATCTCCACCCCCAGTTTTTTCTTTAAAAAAGAGTATGCAAATGATGTATATTATTGGGCCTCTGTGGTTTGAAAACACACGCGCTCGCACACGCACATACACGCGATAACTGACAAAGCCCGTGAGGGAGTTTCATAACAGAGGGAAATATTGGGAAGGTTTTATCTGATAGTGTAAGGGAAGTCTGTTAAAACGCCTTTACTGCAGGCAGCAGGAATGAGAAGCCACCTGGAGAAGTCATACAGCACCGGAGAAGGAAACCTTGCTGGCTGCTTGCATAGTGTTTGGGGCTCTGCTGCACAGCCAGGGTATTTTTTTGCTTTTTAAGTCTCTTGACAGCTTTGTGAGAGGCAGCAAGAGGGGCTCTCTTGCTTTTGCTTATGTTTCAGGCTGGTGCCTTCTAAGGCATAGAGCCTTCAAGGTTTAAAAGCCAATGTGAGACAATGCATGTCTTAGCGTTTCTCTGGTTCTGCTGTGTCTCCCCCGGGCTTGATTCCCCACTCCCACTCCATGACACAGTCAGGATTTGCAGATCATCTCTTTAATGCTTATTTCTCCATTTCTTTTCTTTTTGTCGTCTGGCAGGGGGACCCCATACCGGAAGATATTTATGAGATTTTGGGTGGCAGCTCAGTGCGTTCCATCAGCGACCTCCAGCACGCGCTGCGGATAGACTCCGTAGGTAAATCTCCTCTTCACCAAACACTCCTCTATTTTTTTCTTAAGTCTTTGAGGGAGTTGGGAAGGGATATTCTGTTTTTCAGCAGGCATACTATCAAGAGAATCCATTATAAATACAGGAACCATTCAGAAGCCGAGRCCTATCTATTTACACACTTAGTCTCCCTGAAACTTGTGGGAGTTAGAGACAACTAAATACTTTTTTAGATCACAAGTCTGGTGTATTGAGGGGCGCTGGCTTCCAAAAATGGTAGGAGATGGGCAAGGTGAATGGAAGTACCTGAGATCACCAGTCTTCACCCTAGGAGACATTCAGGCAGCAGGGCTTGAATTGGACAAAGATCTGTTTAGGAGGCGACAAAATGGGAGGTGGAAATAGGGTGACAGATGAGGAAAAGGCTGAGTGGGTTTCCGGGTTTGGCATCCACAAAAGGCCACAGGCTCCCAGAGGCTCTTAKGATGAGAGCAGCAGAGCACGTGTCCATGGTGAGATACGGGACAGGCGCTAAGTCAGGGTAGCGCCGCTTCACCTCCTGCCCGCAGATAAGAGCTGCGGGGGCTGCAGTGGCTCGGGGTCACTCGGGCAGGACTGAGCGCAGTGAGCAGCAGGAGAAGCGAAGCGTGGAGGGGTCGGCACGTGTGGGAACTGGAGCACGCGCCACGGCGGCTGGGCTGGCCCAGGAATTTATTTATAAACGGTCTCTTCAGAGCAAATTCCTTTCTATTCTAACCCTGCTCCCGCCCGTCGTCCCCCAGCCCCCCCAGCTCGACTTCTCTCTCGTGTTTTGTCTGTTTTGAGCTTTGTAATCCTTGCCGAGACACTATCTACGGGGGAACAGAATTTCCTGCTTTTGTTTCCTATGCCAGTCCAACCACTGGCGCAGTCTCAAAAGCATTCCCGCTGCCTTTCAAAACGGCCCTGGAGGGGCAGAGGGGGAAAGCTAGGGGGAGGGCACCAGCTGCGTTCAGCTATTGTTTGTCTTAGAAAGAGGCGACGAGGCTCCCCACGACTGCCAGGGCCACTCCCTGCCCTCACCAATTCCCTCCTCCTTGTCCACGAGCCACACAATGGGGCAACTTCCAAAATTAGCTGTGCTGGATTGTCCCAGGCTGGTCCCCCACTCCCCCAGAGGTCTTTAGTGCTGACCCAGGGTGTAGAAGGGCAACCTAGAGGAGGGAGGGACACGATTCTCAACCGATTTGTTTTGAGTCAACAGTGGTTGCTATTTTTCTGCCCCCACTCCACTCCTCTCATCAACTCAAAGGAGCCCCCACCCTCCTTTGATATAAAGCCAATGATGGAGGGTGCAAGGAGCTGCAAGGAGCAGCTGAGAAAATGCATCCAGTCTGTCATGGCCCACGGTCCAAGGAACAGATACATCTCTATCCTGGTTACTAACCATCCTCATGACTGAGATAGAAAATGGGCTTATCCTCCTGGCTCCAGAAGCCACGGGTTATGGGAGAAGGCTGCAGAGCTTTGAGTCACTGTTTTCACTTCAGGTCCCAGGTAGAAAATGATGGTCAGAGAAACAAAAAGTGGTGCTGCGAAGCTGTTTCTATGTTGCCTCCCATGGCTCTCATCTGTTCCCAGGTACTGACCTAGGAGCATTGCCATTTGCTTGCCCTGTGAGGAATTAGCAAGTTAGTGAGTTAGCAAAATAATTCCAAAGTGACTGGAGCTATTCCCTGTGCTGTCTGTGCACCCAGTGCGTGTCATAGCTGCTTCCCTTCACTGTCTGCACAGGGAGCTGGAATGAGGTAGCTCCTGGAGCAGATGGGTTGACACAGTGCTCTCCTGAGCTTGGTCACTAACCTAGACCCAGAGTGCAGAGTGGGAGTCATCTCCCTTAACTGTGGCTGCCCACAAAGCAGCAGCTGCCCATGTAAACCAGTCATCCAGACACCTTCTCCACTCCAAAGAGAATTACAGACCCTTCTAAGTCGTCACCCACCAGATTTAGGTGTCTGCCTCGGGGCAAGATGAATTGTGCCTGGAACTGATCACTACTTTCCAGCCACTTGAATGGTGTCTGTTGATTGTGCATTGACCGGCTCAGGATTCCTGCCTTGTAAATGCAGCCTCTGTGCACCCATCCCAAATCCTTCAGCCACTGCTTGAGACCTGAGCAGAGAGCAAAGTCTCTGCTCCCCTTTGTGAGAGCACTGCAGTAGGGCAGGGCTGAGGAAGAGGAATGGGACATGATAGGTAAGGGAAGTCTGCTCCACCACACATCTGATAAACAGAGATCTTCCACCGGCCCCTAATTCCCTTTAAGAAAATTGCTCCCTTGATGCTGACGTCCATTCAGTTTCCTTCAGCTGCTAAAGCAGGTCAGAGAAGGAAAGAGCTGTGGCTGGGTGGGAGCTATCTTCGAGCGCAGCCATTGTCCCGAGCTCAGGAGGGGCTGTGTGTTGGAGTGCTCCATGGGGATTATGGGCATTTCTCCATTCAGCACTTCCTATGGGAAAAAGCAGGGGGGTGGGAGGGAACTGCTCAGGGCTGGCCTGAATGCTATCGGTCTTCCTCTCCCATCGCYGAGTGAACCACCTCCAGATCCTGCCTCTTAGAGTAGTATAGAGGAAAAGTAATTCTATTTTTCTGTTCTTCTGACATGAAACGGCTTTAACCTAGAGCAGCTGAGGTGAATTGAGAGAGAGAAAGCAAGCACCCCACCTACCACCCATCATCCCCTTCACCTGCCCTCTCACCTGTCAACTCTCCCAGTTCCAAGCTGTCCCAGCAAGGCACCTCAGTGTAAAATAACAAGTGTTCTGCTTGTCCCAYCTGGTCTTTGATCCTCCGTGCTGTTATCTGAGTCTCAGCTGGCCAATCTGAATCCCTCTGTTCCTCCTCTCTGACACCACAAAGTCCTGACACAGGCCTTGCCTTCCTTGAGCTGGAGTTCTCCTCTCCTAGACCTGACTGGGTCCTCTCTTTCATGATAGGCTTGTTGCTTTGAGCTGTCTAGTCTGAGCAAGGAGTGTCCATGCCCCAGCACAGCTGTGGCCTTGCTTGTGGATTTACACCTAGCGTGATATCCTGGCTCCATGGCTTGTCCCATGTCCCTGCACTTTGCCCGGTGATCTGAGCACAAGTGCCTGCTGTCTTCTCCTACCTCTACTTGGTGCTATTAAGTCATGTCTTATCCTTTGCAGAGCGAGATAGCTCTGGCCTGAGCCTGAATGCAACTCAGCCCAATCAAAACCCTGTGGCCCTGTCTCGAGAGCGACGAAGTCTGGGTGAGTTCGGGGTCTTGCACCTTGTRGTTGTTGGGGTGCTCACCTCAGCAGCCATGGGTGGGTCCAGATAAATGTCTGAGATACAGATCAGAGGTAGAGGTTATAGTGTGCCTGTGGAGAAATGAGAAGGAGGGTCTGGGCCTGGAGCAGGAGGTGGAAGTTACACCCTGGGAGGGCAGGAGAGCGAGTCTGGACTTCTGTGTGCTGCTCTGCTTTAAATCCTAATGATGCTGATTTGCTCCAAAGAAGTGTGATCTGCTGCCTGGGCTGCAGTGAGAAGCATCATTGTACAGGGCCTTTCTCCACAGGGCACAGCTCAGTACAGGGAGAGAGCTTGAGGGGTGGGAGAAGGAGAACAAACAAGCGTGGGGGCGGGGGGGGAGGGGGCGTTCTTTCTCTACCAGCAGAGGTGACTGTGGTGGGTTGGTGACAGCTGTAAAGCCCATTTCATCCCCCATTTTTCTCTTGGCCCTCTGTAGATGCTCTGGCAGCAGCAGAGACAGCTGTCCTTGCAGAGTGCAAGACGCGGGAGGTGGTCTTCGAAATCTCCCGCAACATGGTGGACAGCACCAAYGCCAACTTCGTGGTGTGGCCGCCCTGTGTGGAGGTGCAGCGCTGCTCTGGGTGCTGCAACAACCGCAACGTGCAGTGCCGCCCCACACAGATCCGCRTTCGGCACGTCCAGGTGAGGGACATGCCTCCCGCTGCTTCCTCCTGCTGCCACCCACTGCCYTCCCTGCGCCCAAAAGCCAGACCCAGGGTGGCTCTCAGGTGCTGGCCTCATGCGGCTGTCTGTCCCCTCTGCACTGCAGCCGCTGGTGTAGGTGACATCTGTGCCAGCTGCTGGAAGGTCTGGTGCTGTCCAGCAGCTGGGGACTGTCACCGTGCAGAGCTACAGGGCACTGTCCCCAGCTGCAGCTCCATGCCATGGCCCTTCCTGTGGCTCAAGGCAGCCTTGTCTGCTGTGTCAGACCAGAACAAACAGGGTGCTTTCATTGCAGGAACTGTTTTTGATGCAAAAATAGAAGGGTTTGCAGTGTCAGTCTCCATCCCCACTCGGCTGCTGCAGCTTCTTTCCAAGACACGCACTGCAACAGCTTCTCTTTCTCAGCCTACAGTTACCTCCTGACCTGCTCCAGCAGCCAGCAGACACCTGACAGCTAACCTCTTGCTCTGATCTTCCCCTCACAGCTACCAGTGATCTCCTCACAGCTTCCTCCCCGACAGCTTGTTTAAAAATAATATTCATCCCGTACTAATCCTCTGCCTGAGCCATAAGAGACTCCCCCAGGCAGGCGGCAGAGGTTGGCTGGGAGAGACTGTATTCACACACAGCCCTTTTCATCAGGAAATTCCTTTCTCAGAAAAGCCAGGCTGAATGAGGAAAAAATGGGGGGGAGCAGGAGTTGTTTTTCTGGAAAAAAACAAGTGGGAGGTCAAAAGCCAGCCTGAAAAAGTGACCTGGAAATGGTTTCTTTGAGGACAGAGGTCTCTCTATTGTTTGGCTGGAAGTGTTTTTCTAGTGAGCAGCATGTGGTCTGAAGTGTGTGGAGTGGGCTTTCAAGGAAAGATAAACAGCCTGACTGCTTGGGGTCTGGCTGAGGGATGCTGCTGGGGGCAGTGGGTTTAGAGGAATTCCATCCCTGATGCAGAGCAGGGTGAGTATTTATAGCGTGTGGAGCACTTCAGGGACCGCAGAGTTGTTAGATAAGCTGAGTGGGGTCAGGCCTGGCTGCTGGAGTGGGAGGACCCCTCRAAAGCTTATGCCCTGTGTGGGATGTGGAGCAACGAGTCTTCCCTCTGACTCAGCACTGGTGGAGAGTCCGAGGGAATTTCCAGAGCACCGCCTTTCCCGTGAAACCCAGAACCGAGGGCTTCACCCCTGCGAGTTATTAAAGAGCTTGAGACAAATTCAGACAGGCCTCCGCAGAGCTGACAAGGCTGTGTTAGCTTGCATCCGACCTGAGCTTTTCTCCTTTTGGCCTTCCTGTAGGTTCCTGTGGGAATTAGTCCTGGTTGYCCCCAGGTTTCTACCATCACATCTGTCAGAAACAGGCTGGCATGTCCTGCATGGTCCATGTTTCTGTCTCCGCTCAGCCAGTCATCCTGCTTAAACACTGGCAATAGCTAGGAACAGGGGAACCACCAGAGACATCCCAACTTGCCTGCTCTAGGTCTGCTCTGCTGCCGTGTTCTGAATTATCTCCATGCACACCACCTGAATTTGAGCAGTGCTCTGTAAGCTGCCTTCTGACCCCTTAGAAAGAGAGCCAAGAAATGCATTGACACTGACTAATTTCACAGAGCGGGTGCCGTAGCTGTATTAACCTTTTGCTTGCCTTGCTCTTGTAAATAGGTGAACAAGATCGAATTTGTCCAGAGGAAGCCAAAATTCAAAAAAGTCGTTGTGCCTTTGGAGGACCACGTGCAGTGCCGGTGTGAAGCCGTGTTCCGACCACCCCCCAGGARCATCCGTCCAGGATCACGTGAACAGAGACGTAAGGATCTTGGCATTAGCACARCGAGGGGAGGTGTGAGAAGAGGGGCTGGGGACAGAGAAAAGAGACCTCCGCTGGTTTCAGTCTGCTTAGCTCCAGTGAATCCCAAGGGCATTCACTGCTTTATACCAGCTGAGGGACCTGTCCCAGGATGTCTGCCTGCCAGGAAGGGGTTGACACTGAGGGAAAAGAAGGAGGGAAGGTGAGAGGTGAGGGGAAGGTGAGAGGTGAGGGGAAGGGCATGGTGGGAAAAGGGAGAGGGCTGAGACTGTGGAGAACAGAGGACAAGGAACAGAAGAACAGAAAGAGGCCTTGTGGCCCTCCTACTGCAGATCTCTTTGTTGACAGTGTGTGGAGAAGGATATTTCAATGAGAGCCATCTGCCCCTGGCTGTACAGACACTCTTCCCTCTGTTTTGGCAGGCTTGTCACCAGCGTTCACCACAGCCGCTGTCTCACAGAGGCGGCGAGTACGCCGGCCGCCGGCACAGAAGAGGAAACATAAGAAGTACAAGCATGTCAACGATAAGAAAGTGCTGAAAGAAATCCTCATAGCATAGAAGTGCTGGCAGGGGAGAGAGAGCACAAGGCAGGTAACAGCAAGCTGCTTTTCCAATTGGGAGTGATGTCCTCCTGGGACATGGCATATTAGACCCTTCCCATGACACTGGCCACTTGCTGTGTGTGGGGCTACTGCAGGACAAAGCCTGGGTTGAAGGAGGGGGAAGAATTAGGTTAGGTGCCAACATGTGCATTCTATTTATGGAATTAAGGCTCTTTGCAAAGTTGGAATGATCGTGCTGCAGCCATCCTTGCTCTCAGGCCCCACCCTCTCCTTTCTCTGCCTCCATGTCAGGCAGAGARCAAGCCTGACTTCTCCCTACATCTCCCTCTCCTAAATCTCCTCGGGGTCCATGTAATTCATCTCTTCTGTGGAGCACCTCCTGTTCTAGTTTGTCTATTGATTCTCCATTGAAAACAGAGAAATAATATTGCTCTGGGGATCCATTTTCCTTTTATTTCAATAGTTGAGTTGGCAGAAAGGCTGAAAAGCAGCAATACTTCTGATTCATCACTCTCCTAGCGGGAAGCCTGTGTGCATGAGAAAGGTCATACCAGGGGAAAGGAGAACTGGAATCTCTGGCAAGAGATCTGGACTTTGTCAGGCCAGGGTCTGATTCTTCTCTCCATGACTTGTGTAAACAGGAGTAACTCCCTCATCATCAGAAGAATTTCACTGGTGCAAGGGAAAGGAGACTAAGCCCTGGTTCCCCATGAGAAGGAAAGAGTGCAGATAGGTGGGAGCTGATTTTGGAGAGAGGTGACACAGCTTAACAGGGAGAGCCCTGGGCCATGGCTCAGCAGTTGCAGCTCTGCTGTAGCCCCTTGAATAAGCCCAGGCTACTCACTTCACATTCACTTCCCCTCTCCTCGGGAGAGAGGACAGCAGGCTTCCATGTGTGGTGTTTCAGGAGCTGGGGACAAGGCACTGGGCAGTTTCTTGGGATTGGGATTCCCACGCTTAGCACTATGAGGCTCTGACAATCCCAGGATTCTGCTAGCCGGTCTAAAGTTCCCAGGGTAGAAAAGATGCAAACCCATGCAAATCTCAGCTCTGGCTCAAGCTGTTCAGGGGAAAAAATAGAGGAGGTCAAAAGTCCTCCGGGGCTTCTAATCTGGCACTTTGGCACAAACATTTCCAGAGGAGAAAAGGGGATAGGAGGGGAGTTGCAGGGGGAAAAGGTTACATGTTCTAATGCTGTGTCTGGTTTTGTTTCTCTTCCAGGTTAATTTAATATATTTGCTGTATTGCCCCCATGGGGTTCTTGGAATGATAACTTTTCCTCTTTGTCCATCTGCCTCGATGTCTGATTCAGACAGCAATTGGTGCTTCCCTTTCCATCAGTGGACCTTCTCCCACCAAAGCCTCCCTTTCATTTATTAGCATAATTTTAAAGTTTTACACACACACACAAAAGGACAAGGATGACCTACATATATATATATATATATATATATATATGAGAAAAGAACAAAGTACAAATAAAACCATGAACGCCAACAGCCACAACTTGCTATGAGAACAGGACAATTCCTTCCCTGCTACAGAGGACAGGATGGAAAATGTGAAGAGGAAAGCAGGTCCAATTTCTTGCGAGGGAAGGAGAAAAACAGATGGACAGAGGCCAGAAGGGGAATATTCTCTCTTTCCCTCGTGCTTTTGGTAAGGCTGGGAGGCCCAGCTGAGATCTACACTTGCACTGGACCTACGTTTTGGAAACAGGTGTATCTCAGATTGTGAGTGGCGACCAATGATGGAAAATGCACTAAGGACTTTTATYGCCCTACCTGGACAGATATGTATTTTTAACGTGCGTGTGTATATTTTATTTTAAAAAAGAAAAACCAAAACCACTAAGATATACGACATCTCGGGGAACAGAACAAACAAGCAAAGAAGCAAAACAAAGAAGCCAAATGCATTCCCCCACTCCCTTTCCCCTCCTGCTCCTGGTGCTGACTGGAAGGTGTTTGGATCGTGGGGAAGGAGCACACAGCAGCAGAATCGTCTCCACGCCCCCGGCCCCTGCCAAGGGGAGCCATCTTTGCACATGCTGGTGGAGAACTCAACTTTCCAGGCTCGGACTCAAATTATTTTTTAAATTCACGCTGTATGTGTGCGTGTGTATATGTGTGTGTGTGTGTGTATATATATATACGTGTGCGTGCGCGTGTGTGTGTGTATGTGTATTTATACATACATATATATAAAAAAAAATATATATATATATATATATGTTCTTAAACGGATTTCATTCCCCAGTGGCAGGAAGCTCAGAGGCATGTGCATGCATTGGCTTCACTGGGCTGGCAGAAAAGCACGCTGTTACTGCAACGCGCTTGCGAGGCTCAGGATGGGGCAGGCAGAGGCATCRTTTGATCTCCCTCTCTCTCTCCTTACCCTTTTCTCTCACTCTGCATCACCCTCCCTCCCCCCAGCGCAACTTCCTTGCAGGAGGTGAAGTGGCCCCACAACAAGCCCAAGGACAGCCAAACTTAGAAGCATGACTTAATTTCARTGAGCTGTCCTGCCTGCTCTGTGGTCTCGAAAGCAGAATCATGTCATTCGCACGAGGTTTTTAACCCTTTCCTGGGTGTCATGCTTACTATGCCTCCACTGACCTCTCCCTGACAATGTCTACACATCTCCCATCATTTTCCTCACATTTTCCCTCTCAAATTCCTTCTTAATCTTTACCCATCAGATGTTCCCAACCCACTTAGCTTGAAAGTTGATCCACGATGCGGACAGCTCTGTGTAGGTATAAAAAATGAGGATGGTCTTCACAGCTGGCAGCAGCTGTCTGAGACAGAAGTGAGCTCTTCTAAGTGAGAAGGACGCAGAGAACAACTGGAGGGTCAGTTGTACCTGCCTGTCTTTGAGGTGGGAGGAGGACTGTGTGGCAGGGGCTGGTTTTGCACGTGTAGCACATGAAGAAATGCCTGCTCAGAGCAATCACAGCGCTTCTCCCCTCACACACACATCCCTATTGTGGGGCAAAGCTCTGGAGGGAGATGGGCAGAGTAGCCAAAGTTGCAGAATGTGAGCTGTTACAAGTTGTGGAGGAGCCCAGTCCTCGCCTTCTGCAAGCCCAGGGCACTTCTCATACCACTGCCAAGGCAGCATGTTGCTCCATCCCCAAGCCCTCAAGTCTTAAGACACTTTGTTTTCCTGTTCCAAAATCTGTTTCTTTTGGTTTGTAAATATGGTGAGGTTTTGTTTTATTTTATTTTAATTTTTTGCCCTTTTTTTTTAAATGTAAGATTAATTTATACTCAGTACTGTATTTAAAGTTGTAAAAAAAAAAAGAAAAAAGAAAAAAGGAAATTACCTCTTGAACAGCATTTTCTCTTTCTTTTGTGAGCTGAATGAAAAGCAGAGGCCAAACCAGCTCACCGCAGGGCACAGGATTTCCAGGGCCTCCAGTTTCCTTTTCAGGACACTTGTTCTGAGACCGCAGAGACAAGCAACCAAAGCTGGGAAAATCCTGAGAGCTCATGCATGGCCCTGCCCACAGCCAGCTTTGCTGTGCTCCTCCTTCCTCACTTGGGCTGGCTTTAAATGACTCAGGTGCTGGGGTTTTTGCCTTGAACCTAGAAGGTCCCCTTCTCCTTAGCTGCTCTGCTAGGACACCCGGCCAGAATTTCCCTGTGCTTTCATCTCATCTCTGGATTCCTTTGCTTTGAAGGGCTTGGGGCAGCCAGCACTGTTTACACTTCCCAAAGCTGTACAAACAGTTGGCCCCTTCCCTCCTTAGTCACATCGTCTAGACAACAGCAGTCCTTCCCTTGGTCGGAAAGGCCACTGCATTTCCCTTTCCTCCCAGCAAGGGAGGTATCACACAGCTGGCACTTGGGTGCCATGCTGTGGGGAGMAAAGGCAGGTCCTGCCCTGTGCCTCTATTTTGGCATTCCCCCAGCACACGCACGGCACTCTCAGTCCATGGCTCAGCCGTGATGAACAGAGACCCGAGTGGAGACTTGTGCTACAATGGTGAATGCAGGAACTTCAGCATGTAGGAGTAATCCAGGATGTCCTTAAAGGACAACCTTGACACTCATGGGTGTGCACTTTGCTGGGCATGGTTCATTTTGGGGTGATGACACATTTTCTCTGATCCTCCAAAGGGAGGGAGTAACGGTGAGATCTATCCTCCCCCAAGAATGAAAACAGGCAAAATAACAATCTGTACTCTGATTTCCATAGGATAATTCAGGGAAAAGAAAGATTTCTGGCATGAAACTTCTTTGGGCTTGAGGGCCTGTCAGCAGGGGCTTTGAAGAAATGGATGCAAAGAGAGGTGCAAGGCACAGGAAGCGTGGGAGCATCATCCTGGATCAGGGAGCGGGAGGAAGGGCTCTATGTCCCAGGGTCCAGCACATCCCCTGTCCATGGAGGCCCCCAGGCAACCCCATCCAAGAGTGTGCTCTGTGCTTTTAACAGCTCAGAATGAATTGGTGCTGGGAGGCTGCGAGCCCTGGCACCTGGAGCCAAGCCCTGCCCAGCACCTGGCACCCATGAGCAGCAGCTGCTCACCCAGGGGCTCGTTCAGATGCTGCTCTGCTTGCTCACCACAGAGCCCTGGTGCACATTCAGCACAGCTCAGCGTGGAGCACGGAAAGGAGGGACCTGTGCCACTTCTCACGGCTGGAGTGGGTGGTTTACACCCACCCTGCATAGCCAGGCTCAGGAAATAAATCCTGGCAACATGCTGCTGGAAAGTGTCTCCATGTGGGGATGCCAGCTTGGTGCACCCAGTGCTACAGGTGAACTCAGGAGAGACGGGGAGTTTTGGCAACTCTCCCTGGTTTAATTGCTCAACTGCTACTTTAACCTAAAGGCCCAATCTCAGGAAATGTCATTCATCAGGAGGTTCATCTTTTGGTGGTGGAAATACATCCAGCCTTCCAGGCAGTGGAGAGAGGTTGCAGCAATGGATCCTCTCATGATAACAYGGCTTCTGAAAGTGGTAGGCAGATGGGAGAGCAAGGCTGTGTGCTATTCATACTCAAAGAGCAAACCCCTGTGTTTTAGAGCCACATGGGTTTTAGCATTGACAGTTTGCAATAAAGCTGTTTCATGGGTAAATGAAGTGAAAAATCAATTTGCAAAAACCGGCTCAGGAAAACCCTTGACTGCTTATTTTATTGGTACTCAGGAATACAAACAGCTTAAACTCTCCCCACACCTGGCTGTGGCTTGAAGGAAGAGCCTTCTCCAGCCCAGCCGTGTGGCATGAAGCCCACAGAGGCATTCTCCCCTCTGTGCTTAGCTCGTGCCTCCCTGGCACAAGCTGTGCCCCCTCCATGGTGGCCACCCTGTCCTGCTGCCTGACCTGCCCATCATCCCGACGTGGCTGGAGACAGCTCAGTGGAAACCAGTGCCACCCCTCTTTATCCAGGGTGGCATGAAGATGTATTGGAGCGTGGCCCAATCTCATTGTCCCTGCACCAATATCTGGTGAGCCCCGGGGGTGGAGAAGCCAGCTGTTCTGAGGGAAAAGCAGGATACAAAGAAGGAGGAAAATATGAAGAATTAAAAGCTATTTAGGAAAAAAAACCCACAACAAAAGACCTGTTGCCTGTGCATGCAGCTGTTCTTCACTCGCCCGTGACCAAAGGATGCTGCCCCTCCCTGAGCTGTGATCTGCCCGTGACCAAGTGAACTTGTGGCAGGCTTGGGAATTTCCCATCTTAAAAGACACTGCGAGGAAGCCGGGCAGTCTCAGCTGTTCGTGGATTTCATCGCAGGCTTAAAGCAACAACAGAKTTCCCCAAAAACTGAGTGCTAAGAGGAACTGGAGGTAACCCCAGATGCTGTGACTTCCCTGCAGGGAGTGTAGACACCGGCTTAACACAAGGAGTTAAAAGTCACAGTGGTGGATCTGTAGGGCTCTTAACAGAGGTGCCAGGAGATTAAAGACACCAAAATATAAAATTATGGCAGGCCTCACCCACCATTTTTTCTCCCCCATCTAGGCAGATACCAAACAGGACTCTGGCATGATGGATTGCCTTGGATTTACAGCAAAGACTGGAGTAAAAGCAGCCTCAAGGGAAACAACCCCCCTTTTTATTACTTTTCTATTACTTTTTTTATTACTTTTTTATTACTATCTCAGTAAAGCTGTTTGCAAGGGATTAAGCAGCAACCCAAACACAGCAGGGACCCAGGCAGCATGGAGGTTTGTGGTTTGACAGTCAATGCACTTTTCAAAATGTTTGCTGTGAATTTTTTTTTGCACATGTTGCAGAAATTCAATGGMTGCAGCAGAAACACCAGGCAAGCAGCTTGGCTGTAGGTCTTGCCCCAGMAGCTTTGGAAACTCCCGAGTTCCCAAATGCCCCAACCTTTGGCCCTGGCCAAAGCTGGCTAATGCAGTCGGTAAAGGCAGTCTCTGGTCCCCAAACCCAAGCCCTTCTTGGCTGTTTTCTGCAAGAAGTGAAACTGTTTTTCAGCAGGAATCTCAGCACAGACCCAGGGAAGAGCAGAGGAGATGGTGACAGCTACAGCTGGTCTCTTCATCTCTGAGTGACAACATCAGACACAAAAGTAAATAAGGTCAGCTCAGGAAAAGTGCTGGTGACTGAACCAAGGTGTGCTCCCAAAAGAAGCTCTTCTTCACTTCTGCATCCCCCCCATGGAGGGGATTTCAGTGCTCTCCAGTCCTTGGCTGGGGATGTCAGGAGGCTCCATGGATACCAGCAGGCTGGGAGGGTGCTCAGCAGAGCTGACATTTGGGCACGCTGGAGTTTTAGCTTCCCCAAAAAGGAGGGCAGGGGGCTTTGCTGTGACACTGCAGCTGGCTTGATGTCTGTGAGGAAAAGTTCTGGGAAGTGCCTGAGTTTCTGCAGGGTGCCTGGAATTCCTCCTGGGCATCTCTCATGCTGAGGGGATATGCGAAGTGCCCTGTGCCTTTAAAATCTGCAGATGTGTTATTTAGGTGGAAAAAATGTTTCACCATGACCATGGATATTGTTTGCATTTCAGTAATTGACCGAGGAGAGACACACACACACAGAGAGAGAGAGAGAGAGAGAGGGAGAGAGTGAGAAAAGACCTTCCTTCCCTCTGACAGATTCAGGAATTTTTTCCACTAATTAAGAAGAAAAACAAAATGCTTGCACTGAGAGGGGGATGGGAGGAAAAGGGGGTCTCCCTGGTGTCCCATAAACCTGGTAGCCATGGACAAAACACCACAATCACAGCATAGCCTTGCCCTGGAAAGTTTGAGGCAGTTCTGGCCAGTGGAGCAAASCTGGAGCACACCTCTCACTCACAGGGGACCCTGCTTTCCAGCATCCCAGGCTGGGTGAGGAGCAGCTCCCTCCCAGAAGGATGAACAAATACAGATGAGGATCTTGGTCCATGAAGGACCAGTGTCTGCTGTAGTGAGGTGACAGCCAGTGGTGCAGGTTTGTCCCCTGCGAGGGATGGGGATGATTTACACATCAGAGCATCTCTGGCTGCAGTGAGATGCAGTCACATCGTGATAAAAGGACTGAAATGGGTGTTCCTTGCATTTGGGTTTGTTGGGGTGAGACTCTCCTGGCTCCACCAAGGCAGGTGTGGCCAGCCCAGTAATTGAATAAAGCATTTTCCTAGTATGGCCACCTTCAAGTGCATTAAATGAAACAGAAAGGAGCAGCTGAACAGGATCTGCAATTTTTTCCCTGTGGTGTGTATTTTTCCTTTTCCATGTATAGTCCCACTGGGTATGCTGTGACCTATTGTTGTACTTATTTATTTACTCAGGTCTTGTAGATGGTTTCAAAGCTCATGGCCAGGAAGGAGCAGCCAGGTGCTGTTGCCATGTGGGACAGAAAATCTGCTCCAGTTTCCCACTTGGAACACAGATGAGGAGCCAGGTGCAACCCCCCAAACCCAGGACTGAACTCTGTTCCCTTCCCTCCTTGCTCTAACCTAGARAGTGGGATATTTCATTGCAAGCCCATGCTGTGGTTTTTTTCCAAGCAAGAGATTAGGTGGTTGGAGTGGTTTGGGTTAAGGAGTAGCTTCTGRTTTTTGGGGAAAAACCTGTTTCGGGTGGAAGGGTGTTGAAGCATGGGGTACTTGCAGGTTTCCTAGTGCCATACACCGCTAATCCCCGAGGAAGGACAGCCAGCAACAGGGGATTAATTTTCCCTAGCTGGAAAACATGAATATTTATGAGCTTGGATTGAAAAATCCTCCAAGGAATCTGGATGCATGTGAGCACCCATCCAGGAAGCAGAGGCCCTCAGGCAGCAAAGGTTGGGAGCTGGCACGGTGCTGCT